TCTCAAGATATGAGAAATTATAATTTACCAGTTGTTTCTGAAATTGCTACTATAATTACTGATGATGATACAATTGACTCTGGTAGAGATATTATTCTTACTATACAACAGGGTTCTTTGCAACATATCTCAAAATTATATGGTACTTATAATCTTTTACAGTATCCACTCCTTTTTCCAAGAGAAGAGTATGGATAGCATATTGGAATTATGCATTCAACTGTAACTAATCAGAGTTCTAATACTAATGATAATTTAAATTTTAATTATAATTAATTAAATATTTTACCATTAGATCCTACTGATTCTCAGCAACAACAAAAACATATGACAATTAGAGAATTCACATGTCATAGGTTACAAATAAGAGATTCTAATAGCATTTTACATTTTGCTGGTCACTTATTTTAGCAATATATCGTTGACCAGTATGCAAAATGGAAGCAAAATAATTTAAGGTGGTTTAAAAATAATCAACCTCAATTACGGGTTGAATATTATAAAGGATTAGAAGATATCATTAATAATGATGAAGCTAATCCTCTTGAAATTGGAAAAAAAATTATTTTGCTTTTTTCATTTACTGGTTTAAAGAGATATATGTAGTAGTTATATCAGAATGCTATGGCTACTGTAAGAGAATTTGGTAAGCCTGATCTTTTTATAACTGTTACCTGTAATCTTAACTGGCCTAAAATAACTAAGAATCTTCTACAAGGCCAAAAATTTAATGATCGTCCTGATATTATTTCAAGGGTTTTTAGATTGAAGCTTAAAGAAATTACTGATAATTTGTATAAAAAGGTATTTTGGGTCTTAGTGTAGCTCATATCCATGTTAATGAATTTCAAAAATAAAGATTATCATATGCTCACATATTTATTATACTTACTACTGAAGATAAACCACAAACTTCTGATGATTATGACAATTTGATTTTTGCTGAGATTTCTAATCTAATTACTCAACCTCAGCTTTATCAAATAGTTACTAAACATATAATTTATAGTCTTTGTGGTTCTCTTAAATCATTTTCTCTCTGTATGAAAGATGGTGCATGTAGTAAACGTTATCCACATGATTATAATAGTACAACCATTGTGAATAAAAATGGTTATCTACTTTATCGTAGAAGAAACACTAGTTATAAGGTTAGAAAAGCTG